AGAGGACGGGGGTGGGGAGTGGTGGGGGGATGCATGGCTGCCACATCAACAGCAACAGTTGGGGCTATCAGCCCGAGGCTGGCACTCGCAGGGGACCGTGTGGCGGGCCCACCTGGCTTGCCGAGATGCTCAGGAACTCAGGCTGACAAATGCACAGGGCCCGTGACACAGGTGTGATGCATCTAAAAACACATTTTGCCTTGGAGCAAGATGACTAAGTATGCTACAGATGATCCCCCAGGGCCCCTGCTGCCCACAGGAACATAAACCTTGGCTAACACTTCTTGAGAAAATCATCTAGAGAGAAAATGATTAATTCAAAAAAAAAAATTACAGGCTCCCAATGAGATTCAAGAAAACCTTCAGCCAATAGTTGTTGCAGAGATAATTGTTCTGAATCTATCAATAAAGCTAAGCTGCCCCTTCATTGACCGCAAACACCAATTTCTTTCACCCAGGATTATAAGTTGGTGTTCACAGGCTTACTACCGCCATTACGGTGATAAACAGTTCAAACCACAACAGGGTCTGACATGTAGATCAATTCTGGCTCCATAAAGAATCTACACAAGAGGTTCCAGGACAGGAATTTACAGCCACCAGTTTTTATTCTCTCTTGCTGCAAAAATTACTTCTGTCAAACACTTAGGAGAGTGAGAAAAAATGTAAAAAAATTAATTTTTCATGTACTGCTGGAACAGCCTTTTTCAATGCAGAAGCTCAAGATGAATATGTTTCTGCACTTAAAAAATTACGCCGAGCAGCATGTGGTGCTTAGTGGAAGAGGGGTTCAATCCTCCTCTGCTCGCAAGCCAGCAGACAGCAATTTGCAATCCTGAACTGAGCTGTCTGCGTTTCCTCTAAGGGCAGATGCGGGTCTCATGTTAGCAACGCCAAATTATATTAGACATTTAATTTTAAACCTCAGGTACTTAAATGTAAAACCTTACAACAGTAATAGTCATAAAGCAGTGGGGCATTCGATTTCACAGAATGGATTCTTCTTTTCTCTGCCCTTAATTTAACCAGAACCTCCTGTTTTGTACTTTTGCACACTACAAAGTAATCTATCTAATTAGGAGTTGCTTGCAGCTGCTTAAAAGACAGAAACCCCCAGGGTACCTGCGTGTATAGAGGGTAAGACTTTGAAAAGTTCTCTGGATCCAAAGTCTTAATTTAGGGTGGACAAGGGGGCAGAGAAACAGTGAATTCCAGTGTCATCATTATTATGATGGTTTAAGATAAGTGTGTGTGACAATTGGAAGGCATATTCACCAACATATGGGCATTTGGATTCAAAAGCTGCTTAGCTTCTCCTGTCCCTGCTGCTAGCACAGCGTATGCTTTTCATGACTGACATCCAAACCAGACTCAAGGGAAAAAGATAAAATGATTAAAAAAAAGAAAGGAGGGTGGGGTTTGTATCAACTGCAACTTAAAAAGACAAGGCATGGCAGAAAGCTCTTAATCATGTTTGTTTCTTTTGTGATTATTTTCTGAGCACGGCAGGGAATGCTGATGCCTAAGCTGAGGTCTGGAAACCCACTCACAAATGCGTTTTCCTGGGGTTGCCATCTGATCCTGGGCCTGATGTTCATTAAAAACTGCGTTGGGTCTGGCTGCTGGCTGAACCGCTAAACCGCTAAGGGCGAGGATGGTGCTTACCAGAAGGGGGCTGCGATGTTGCCCTCACCTCAGGCTAATGGGGCTGCTCAACATCCAGGCGCACCTGCATCGCCCAGGGAGCGTGGCAACATGCAGCTTGGATCTGGTCAGTCTCGGTGGAGCCTGGAACTCTGCATTTCTAGCCAACTCCCAGGCGCTGTCAGATGCCTCTTGGTCCACGGACCACACTTTTAGAAGCAAGGGTTTAGAGTGATGGTTTTCAAACTTCAAAATGCAACATAATTCTGAGAGGGCTTGTTAACACACAGGGTGCTGGGCCCCACCCCTGAGCTTCTGAGTCGGTGTGTCTGGGATGGACTCTAAGAGTTTGCATTTCTAACCAGTCCCTGGGGGGCAGGGGGGCTGCTGCCGGTCTGGGAAGCACATCTTGAGAAGCGTCGTCACGGAGCCAAGGCTTGGCATCAAGCCACCTGAGTTTGCAACCTGGCCCTTACCAGCGGGGGTCTCTGCATAAGCAGGACCTAACCCTTCTGCGTCAGTCTCCCCATCATAACACATAACAACAGTACCTACTTCCTGAGCATCAAATGAGTTCATCCACTGGAAGCCCCGATAAATATCAGTGCTTCTTCTTCTTAATACTGTTGTGTCCCTTTCATCCATATCTTGAGGGGAACATACCCATCAACTTTTAAGAAAACATAGGCAGGAAGTATATATCGTGCCTGTATTTTCGTGTCTGTTCCTGTACATCCGAGGAGTCCTGCTCCTGTACGGAATTCTGCTGTTTTTCTGGATCTTTGCTATTGAAAATGTCAGTTCTAAGGCCTAAAACAAGATGATGATTAATTCCGCAATTCTGACCTCTTAATGCTCTTCTCTTCTCGTCTCCCCTCATTTTGCTGCACGCCCACTGACACCTTTCATTTCACTGCAGCCCCCTCGGCTGGTCCATTTTCCCTTTCCCTCTTCTCTGTGTCTTTGTCCAAATTGCCTCAATGCTTATAATAACTTCCTCCTGTGCTTTTGCACAGAAAAAAAAAAAGTCCACCTGGTTCTTTTAGCACTGCTCAAGTTTCATTCTCTTTGGGAAATTTTCCTTGATTAACTATCAGCCTTTAAACTACCTGCACAATGTCAGCCCACACTGTTCCAAGTTCTCCACCCACATCCCCCAGCAGGCTCATGCCAGGGCACAGACTCGTGTTTCTTACCGCCTGCGTTCAGGGTTCAAACTCTGGGGTGTCAGGGATCCTAACTAGTTTTTAACAAACATGCTACATACTGAAGAATGAATGGATTCCTGAGGCATTAATATTTGAGAAATCTCTTTGTAAATTTAAAAGCCACATTCACATGCTGGTGACCTCAGTCTCTCAGAGGGACTATAAACATGCGTGTAGTGACCAACGCAATCTGCTTCTGTGGAAAGACACTTCGAACCAAACCAAGGCTCTGGAAATAACAGAGCCTCATGACCTGGCAGTTTGGGAAACACCCACTGCGTCTGTGCACAACCAGCATGGAGTTACAAAGTAGGAGAAAGTTAACTAATGAGTCTTTATCAAAGAGTTAACTGTGCAGAAAGAAAATCTGTCTAGAAAGGATTTTAGATTAATATGCTGCTTCCAATGCCTCTTGTATAAAAATATTCTGAGTGTAGGGAAGGCAAAGACTCTGGGTGACGGTCTCTCTCGGGCACTTGTTCTTCTAATCCCCCCTCCCAGATACGATTCCCAGAGCCTAAGGCATAGCGCTAAGAGCTGTTGCTCTCATCAGGCTGTGTCGGTGACTCAACAACTCTTACTCAAAGGAGGAAAGCTTCAGAAGGTCGCTGCTTGACATGCGGGGCCGACGTCGTGTGTGTGCAGCAGGCTCTGCAAAGGCCCAGCTTGGGGCTCCCTGATCCCCAGACATGGGGGCTCCACAGAATAAACCCAGCCGGCTGGTAATACCAACTGAAAAATCAATCCATTTCAATGTATTTGATGATAATTATGTGAACTGCTTGTGCCTCCTAAAAAGAGTAACTGATAACAACAGCAGATACGCAGTTACAGAAGCCATGGTCCAGGTGTTGCACTTTACACCTAACGGCCAGGAAGGGAGGGAAGAGCACATCTAAGCATCAGGAAAGGACAGAGGGGCTCACGGAGGTCAGGTGGCCTGCCCACGGCCACCTGGTGGATGGGTGGTGGCTGTGAAGGCTTGGATGCCCTATTCCAAGAGGAGAAATTCTAGGTGGTCAATTTACAGTGGCTCAGAACCCCCTTCACTGGGGTTCTCAATGCATCCTTGTGACTTCAGAGGACAGGCAGACTGCCTGAAGGGGTCCTGGGAGAGGCTGCAGGCAGACATTTGCTACTGACCACAGCGTTTTCCTCTGAATGTGGAAGGAGCCCTGGCTGTGTACACGTGGCGCCACGAGCTTTTCCAGACTTGTGTTGCTGCGGCACCTCTGGAGCTGCCTCAATGGACTGAATTTCTCCCTCTCCCTTGGTTTGGGGATCTTTCTTTAAGGCCTCTGCTTGGCAGCACTTGCCAGAAGAACATGGAGTAACTAGAAATAAGGATGATGTTTACCCAAATCTAACGTCCTGCTGCAGCAGCTGGCGGGCCTACAGGGAAGACCTGATGCTGAATCTTTTAATTAGAACAAATTATGCTAAAATTACTCTAACGCCCTGTCTGATAGATGACATACAACAGTGGGAATTCCTTTAAATACCGGTGAACAGGCCACAGACAAAATGCCACAGGCAAAGCATGGTGCAGGCAGACAGCGCAGCCTCCGTGTTCCAACTCACGGTAGGAGTTGCCTACAGGCACGCTTACTTTGCGAGAAGCTGTCCTCACTTAAAAAAATAAAAGCGGGAAGGGAGCACTCCATAATTTAGAGGGTATACCAGGAATCCTGGAACGCTGATAAGGAGAATGAATCATGTTTTCCTTTGATGAAAAAAAAAGAAACCCTTACGATATAAAATGAGCATTAAAGGTGGAAGTACAGGCCAGGCCGTGCAGAAGTGTGACCAGAGGCATAAATTCTGACATTATTTCTCTGTCCCCTCCCTGTCCTGTGACCCTGGAGAAGCCGCTTGCTCCACCTGCCGCCTCAGTTTGTACATCTGTCCAGTGGGGATGAACATCTACTCCTCCCTGCACCAAGAGGCACCAGCGAGATGTTATGGGCAGACAGCCTAACAAGGACAAACGCGCCAGAGGAAAGGCCAGGCATGCACCACTGCCACTGCCACCCTGCAGGTGCCATACTTCACATGGGGTGCAGAGAGCTTGGGGTGGTGCGTCCAACCTGGACTTATGACAAGGTCTGCAAGGCGGCCGCGGGTCTGTGGGGCCGCACCCTCTCTTACCGCTGCTGATGGCCGAGTTTGCAATGACCGTAGCCTCACTCCACTGGTCAGCACTGGAGACGGAGCAGGAACGCTGCTGCATGCCGTCCGGTCGGCTGCCGAAGGGGCCCAGGCCGATGCCGCTTGCCATCTGAGACCCAGACGCACTAGTGATATTCCCTAGGAATAAACAAGTCAGGTGAACACCACCTCGGACTGCAGACCCCAGAAGCCAGCACTGGATAGCCTACGGGGCCTAAGCGCTTGCGCAGCGGGCCCAGGCACGGAGGTCGTCCTGCCCACGTGGAGAATGGAAGCATCACACACAACGACACTGAGAGCACAAGAGAGGAGCAGGTGGGAGGGCGCACGGGGAAGCTGTGCAAACGAGCCTGCACACAACAGTCCTCAACAAAGACACGGCCGCAAGCAGCACCGCGCCAGCGAGCAGAGGCGAAGGCCCACTTTTGGGGAAAGCAACGCTCCCGGCAGGCCCGGCAGGAGCCCTGTTGCATCCACAGATCCATGGACATGAAAATGATCGCCAACTGGGACTCAACCGATTGGTGCCAGAGGATTATTTTCATGGTGAAGCTGTACTTTATGATCAACACAAATCAAAGTTCCTACACGCGACATCAGAGGAAATGCAGGCTCTGAAGCCAGTAAGTTTACTCTTAACCTTGAAAAGACTAAAATAACCTTAGCAACTTGGTAGTGCACATGGTTGGAGATGAAAAATGATTCCATTGTATACTTAATGATTTGAATCAGTTGCTCAGCATCAAAATGAATGATTATCTGGTCACACCAATTTTAGACTCAAAAACATAATTAAGTGTCTTTCTCTAAAGCTCAGCCAATCATACCCTGGTGCTAGTGAATTAGTTTGTTAGGTCTACATGCAGATCTTCAAAGGTATTAGGTTTCTTTTTCTTTTTTTTTTTTTTACTTTAGAACCAATTAAGCTCTCGATTGTTTTAACAGAAGACTTTCATAGTATAAGATTTTTAATACATAGACTGTATTTGTAGTTCCTAAATCGAGCCAATTACTAGAACTACCTGTGGAGCTTTTTAAAAATAAAGGTTTCAAAAAATTCAAATTTTGATTCAGAAGGCCTGGGACTGGGGTTTGAAAGAATACACACGTTTTCAAAAGCACTCTGGTGATTCTGGTGAGCAGACAGAGGTAGGAATCAAGAGCTCTGCTACAAACAACTGACCCTGCTATAATCCTGTGGGGCCCTGGAAAGTTACAAAACCATCTACTGAACTGAAATGCACATGTGAGCAATATAACAAATAGCCGATTAATGAAGAAGGGTTTTGCTTTAAAAAATACATTTCTATGTAAAAAGCAATACTGATTTTGTGCTGTTATCTGAACTGGGTACGTTTGAAATATGATAAGGGCAACGATTCACAGGCAGGTCTACCCAATTCTGGAGAAAAGCCGGGGGCAGCATCCTAGGAAGGGCCACCGTCTTCTTAAGTGTGGTCCTCAGACTAACAGCAGCACTGCCTGGCAGCGAGAAATGCAGGCCTCCAGGCCACACCCCCGAACCTGCCTAAGTAAGATCTGCAGGTAATCCCTGCACAGGGGAACGTTTGAGCGGACCTGCTAGAGGGCTTGGAGAACCGGAAATAACCACGACCCCTAAACGATGACGGTCGGAGCTCCTCACCCCCACGGATCACTGATGGCAAAGATGCTGGAGGGAGGCTCTTCCGGCTGGAGCCCATCCTGGCTCCCCTGCCCAGCGGGAGGGGCTGCGCCAGTTTACCACCTTCCTTGCAGTCCTGATGTTCCGACTGTGGGGCTGGAGCTACAGCACAAACCTGGGAACACGCACAGCCTGAAGGACAGCACCGGCTTGTGCTCCCGTGCCTGCTCAGGGACTGATCCTCACAGCAGCCTGGGAAGGAGGGCCAGGTGCAACGCACCTCACGGGCACAGAGGAGCCGCCCCAGGGCCAGCGAGGTGGCACTAAGGGACAACCACACGCTCCTCCCATTTTCCACTCTTAGCTGCCCTCTGAGTCACTTCTCCTCAGCCAGATCCCAGCAGTAACAAGGCATTCGGAACCCACAGCAGAAGGGTGTCCGAGAAGACGGCACCCTCCCAGCCGGCAGCCCAGCTTGGCTCAGGTCTCCTGCACTGCGCCCACCACCTTCCCGCCACACTCTCCGTCCTGCTCCCCTCTGAGGAGGGCCCTCCCTGGGGCTGCACCCACGGGCTCCAGGGCCTCTGGCTTCCCAATGGGCTCACCGATGGGGAGCAGGAGTGCAAAGTGATGGCGCATGCTCCTGGAGTGCGTTCCCGGGCTCCCCCAGAGGGTCGCCTTGGGGTGACTGTGCCTTGGTGGTCCCAGTGCCACTCCTGCCAACCCTGGCCCCACACTACACTATCCCCTGGCCTCTCTCTGCCCACATCTTGGTCCCTCTGTAAAGAAGGGCCTTCTCTTCCCCACAGGGACCCCAATCCCGTGTACCCACCACTCAGGACTGCACTTGGGAGGAGGCCCCTACCCAGAACCCCCTGGGGCTCCAAGGTCCTCTCTGCTTTCACTGTGTGAATGCCCAAAGACAGAGGCTCCAGGGCACTGGTGGGTGGAAGGGGAAGAGAAAGATGGAAGGGGGGGAACAGCATCAGGATGCAGGTGAGCTGTGACTTCTCTGCACGGCGGCCACACCAGGGCCCCAACCTGTCCCGCCAGCAGGGACACCTGCCATTCAGTGAACATGGCAAGCACATGATTCTTTCCCCGCTAGTGTGCCCGCTTGTCCCCTAATGAGTCATCAAGGTGTGGGGATACATGAAACCTCATTTTATACCCGCTTTAGGCAGACGAGGCCAAAACACCTGAAAACCAAACTAAATGCCCGTCCACCCATCGTCTCTGGGCTGATGATCCAGCACAACCGCCACGTGTGCTGTGCCGTTTCCGGTGTGCGTTCTCCCTGGAGCATGGCTCCCTGGGGAAGTCTGGTGTAAAAACCCTGATATACCTCCTTCAACAGGCAAATCGCGCCTGTCACTGCCCACGTGAGGCAAAGCTCCAGGAACAGTCACCCCCCTAGGACAGCCAAGTCAATCTGAACTTCGGACACGGAGCACGTGGAAGTTCAAGTGGAGAGAGATCTGACAAAGAGCTCTTCTTAGGCTGACAGATTCTTTGACTCAAGGCCACACATCCACTGCAGGAAAAGGGGAGAGCAGATTCTGAAAACGCACATACTCATGTAAAACTGCAATGAAGCTGATCATAGGTTTGAGGCTGGTCTACTGGTTTTCAAACTTCTAGCTGTCCAATGAAATTTCAAGCATAAACCTAATGGACTAAGCTGCTGGTGGGGAGGCTCTGGGCTCCGGCTCTGGAGGGCATCCCCAAAGAATGGAATGGGGCCTCTGGGGTCAAGAGCCTTCCAGCAGACCATGTGCTCCTGGCAACTGACGGCAGAATCTGTACAAGACCCCAAACAGCTCTGCAGAGTCCTTCAGAAGGAGAACCTTGGCGCCCCCCGGCCTGTGAAGGCCTCCCTGCCAGCCACACCACCCCAATTATTGGAGTAAAGGGAAACTACAGGATGGAATTGTGGCCAAATGAACGTGTCTATGTGGACACACGGTCAAACAAGTAAAATGTCAAAACAGACCCTTAGACTGGCTGAGGTCATGGGTGCATTTCCGCTTAGTGGGACATGATTTATTTTTTAAAGCAGAATTAATTCAGGAGATTTCATCTGAAAATCTGGGATTTCTGGCGTGGCTTGAAAAATGAGACTACCTGGCAGCCGTGAACCTGTGTTTGTGCTCAGAAACAGTTAGCTGACTACGTCTCTGAATCTGTATTCCCAGAATCCACACTTCAGCGGCCAAGGCTCACACCTGCCCTCCACCCGGCCCCCTTCACCCGATCACCTGCCCACCCAGTTCCTGATCTTGGGTAACTGTGAGTTACAGAATCTTCCACAGACGTGCACAGGTGCAGTCTCTTTTGCAGAAGCAAGACATTCATGATTTCTTTCAAGAGGGCAAATCTCTTTTCTGCTTATACTCATTCACTTCATTTTAACTTCAGTTAAAAGTCTTCTGAAAATCAAATAATAAAAGCAAACTGTGACATATGGAAACGAAGCATTTTCTGTGATGACAGTAGAAATATATTTGAACTGAAAACAAAACAAGTGTCCCGAAGGGTAAGAAGTACTGTTTTTGCCCTAAACGTATAGTCTGGAGGTCCACAAACAGGAGGTACTTGCCTCTACGTGTAAATACATGGAAACAGGTGTTGTAACTTGGAGGCAGACCAGCGGTCCAGACTCGGTCCTGACACCATGGCAACAGCCTTGCGGGCTTACTGTGGCCAGGGAAGCAGCTCACCGGAGCGCAGGCAGCCCCGGGCCGGGGGTCACACTCGGGGGCTCTTCGACGTACTTTGAGTCAATCAATCTATCAAAGAAACCAACTACTCCCAAATGTTCCATGGATATGTTAAGTAACTATACAGCATTAGAATTTAATTATAGTATTTTTTGCTAATTTCTCATGCTTATTTTTACACACACACACACACACACACACACACACACACACACACACACACACACACACCCAAGAAAGGCTTATGTATAATTTCATTTCTGTTCCTGAATAAATACCACTAATGAACTGGCCAAGTAATACTGTCCCTGCTTCTAGTTTTTTACAGGTACACATTCAGCAACATCTGCCCTAAGTCTTACCACACAGGGAGTTTTCACCACTTTGGAAACTACCTCTAAAGCATATATAAGGCAGAGGCTACATTTAAAATCATTTATTTTCTCTCAAAGTACTGTAGGGCTGCATCCTTGGTCAAATGGCAATTCATTTCACAGTAGCAAGTTACTAACCAAGGCTCAGGACCTGCAGCTCTCCCTTCTGGAGGAAGCCCATGACTCACCTGACTCCCAGAGAGCTGAGGACCCTGAGGTCAGGATCCGTGGGCCCTCATGCTGGGCAGGCCGGCAGTCAACCTGAGGTGGCAGGCCGGCGAGACGGGCCTCCTGGCCGTCGGGCTAAATGGCTGGGGTTGAAAGCCCAAAAGGCTGCCAACAGTCACTGACGACACCTCGATCTGGGGCTGCTGCTACGTTGATTAACGAAATCAGATTTTTACACCTATACGTGATTTG